CTGTTTCATATATATATATATATATATATATATATAGGCTATGTTCAGAGGAGCCTTAATAACAACTGGTTAATTAACATGAGATACTTCGGAAATCTATGTGCAAAGTGAATACGAGAAACTACCAACCTAATTTATGCGCTGTTTCAAAATTAAAGAGACTAGAAACTCACTGAAACATACTGGAATGATTAGAACTCAGGACTTAACAAATCGCAACTTGACCTTTAAAAATGTTGTTTATTCTAAATTCTATGTTTAGATAAAAATATATTTTGCTTTGGGAAAAAAAAGGGGGTCTTTGATGAAAATTAGAAGGCCTTTCACGCCTAAACAACAGTTTATTTAAGAAAAGGATTATGCAGTAAAAGCCACGAAACATCTTTGTACATAAAACATCTTCAAAATCACTTTTTATCTGTTACCTTTGCTACATGCAAAAAACAAAAACAACAACAACAAAAGATAATAATCTATTATTTGTTGTAGTGCTGGAAGCGGCTATGTGCATGTTGTTAACCTAGATACAGCTATGAGATGAACGCTTGCATTTTATAAAACAGTACTTTATTTACTAATAAGTAATATTTTCAGAAGAGCGCGTTTTCTGTTACAAAGGCAAATAACCTTTTTCAATGAATCCAATAAAATTTAGAGACACTAGCCAGAATTCAAATGAGGCAAACATGAGCAACTCAGATAAGCAGTTAAGCATATAGAAATTATTAAATAAAACCTCTGATAACGATTTATTGTAAAACTTAAATCTGCGGCTTAGCCTTTACATATCTACATGTTGACTGAATTTGAGACTTGATATTGGCAATAACTCAAAGCAGGCACCTGATTTAAAGGTTTCGGTTTGGTAATAAGAACTGAAACTGTAGTTATCTAAACCTTGAGTGTTTATAAATCTTCATGTTCAAAGTGTACTTAACTGATTCATTGTATTTGGTGAGAAGTAAGTAATATTTCATCTGTGTTAAGATGTAATACCATCTTTTTCAGTCTAATTTCCATTCGTTGTATCACGTTACTTTTGTAGGTTGTCTTTAAGATTTTTTTATTTTAAAATTTATATCGTAATAAAATATTTGTAAAAAAAAAAAGAATTTTTTTAAAAATATTTATCAGTCACATGCTCATCAGGACTAAAGTTCCTTTTATTTTCTTTTAACTTGACCGAATTCACAGACCGGCCGATTTGATCGTAACAATTGAAAAATAGAGCTAATTCTTATGGAATCATTAGTAAAAAAATATCCGATTTCTGATGTTATTTTGGGTAATCTTTGAAATATGGTAAGTTATTTTATTTGAAAATTATTAAAGCGTATACTTTTACCCAGTAATTTATTCTCTAAAAATTGTTTTTAATGAATTATTATTATTTCAAGAGAATCTGATGTAAAGAATAGGAATAATGTAATCATGTTTAATCTTTGCAATTTCATAATCTGAAAAATAATAAAAAAAGCATAATCTGAAATATGTTATCATGTTTATATTGTATTTTAAAGTTATTATGTTTATATTGTATTATATCATGTTTATATTGTATTTTAAAGTTGCCAACATAACAATTTTTATAATACTTAAGTGTGGCTTTATTTTTCATTATATCTAGCTGTCAAGAATTTTTTGCTTCAAGTGTCTTTTGTAATTAAACAGAGTAATGAAAGATTTTCAATTTATGTTTAAATTTAATTTAAAATTAAGTGTGTCATAATTGTATTATTTATCTGTTATTAAGAATGAGGGCTGGGGAATCTTTAGTTTCATACATAAAAAAGTAATGACAATTTACAAAAAAATTTTCTAAAATATATTTTTCTTTCTATGATCTCAGAATAAAATAAAACAAAATATATTTTTAGGTATCAGCTTCATATTCTTTTACTGAATATGTTCCATATTTATTTCAAGTTTTTTTCCAAGATATAGATTGTTTGAGAATACAAGATGCACAGTATAAAAATGAAATCAACTATTTTTCTATTCTAACATTTTTTTCGAATTAAAACATTCTAATTTGATTAATGAGTAGTTATACAATATGTGTTTCTTCTGCATATCAGAATGTAGTGTATGTACCGCATACTCTTTATAAGCAGTTTTTCCTATCATAGACATTTCAATGTAGAATTGCTCTGATTCTAGACTTTTAAATATTTACATAAAATAATTACTTTGTGTACAGGAGTTTGATTTAATTTCATAAAGTATTCACAAAAGTGTCAGTTATCTATGAGTAATAAGAATCTTTACCTAAATGGTCTGCCCAGTTCCATATATCTATATTAAATAGAACAAAATATTTATGTTATGTAAAGCATAATAAATATATGTTAAGCATATAAAAACATTGCAGTAAACAGTTTTACAAAAACAGCATTGAAGTTGTGCTTTTTTCCACTTCTAAATTCTGCTCCTGGTGTAACTGCATTGATTGCATTGGCTCTGGCATCCACTATGTAAAAAAACTTAGAAGGGGCAAATATATTAATTCCTTTAATTACCTGTATTATATGTTAACATATTAAACATAAAATCATAATCAATGTTTTGATTGATTATGATTTGTTTTGATTGATGAACAATTCAATCAAAAAAATTGAATCATTATGTAGTATCAGTATATTATTTAACTGTACTGTGTACATAAAAAGGTGGAGTCAGGCCATTTCATAAAATATCATTTTAAAATCTATACTTCTAATTACAGAGTTTCTCAAAATAAGATACATAACTTCATGAAAGTCTTGTACTGGAAACTGAATTTTTATATACTGGTAACCGAGTCATTTTTATAAGCAGAATATTGGAGTTGTTGAAAGTTGTGCTTTTTTCCACTTCTAAATTCTGCTCCTGGTGTAACTGCATTGATTTCATTGGCTCTGGCATCCACCATGTAAAAAAACTTACAAGGGGCAAATATATTAATTCCTTTAATTACCTGTATTATATGTTAACATATTAAACATAAAAACATAATCAATGTTTTGATTGATTATGATTTGTTTTGATTGATGAACAATTCAATAAAAAAAATTGAATCATTATGTAGTATCAGTATATTATTTAACTGTACTGTGTACATAAAAAGGTGCAGTCAGGCCATTTCATAAAATATCATTTTTAGATCTATACTTCCAATTACAGAGTTTCTCAAAATAAGATACATAACTTCATGAAAGTCTTATACTGGAAACTGAAGAATTTTTATATACTGGGAACCGAGGCATTTTTATAAGCAGAATATTGGAACTTTTTATACAGTCCCTCTGAGCAGGAACTAAAATGTCCATTATTGGCTAAAACAGCATTATTAAATAAGAGCTGAGCCCAAGAAACTGTCAATAACAAATATTTTGTATGTAAATATGTGGAATCTTTTGTATTTGTGAAAGAATAATGAAAATTTTACTAATTATGCAATTTTGCTCATTTTATTTAAGAAAGTTATTTTAATTATTCTCAGTATTTCAGTGATTTTAATCAGCAGATTGGGAGGCGGGTATATTATGCCCAAAGGGGCATTTTTTCTAACATTTTGTGTGTTACCTTTATTTATTAAATATCATGTTCTTTGCACTTAAACCATAAAAATTCAATTCAACAGCAATATGGCAAAATAATTTAAAAAGCACATATCTTTAGAATTTCTGATGCACATTCTCGAGTACTGGAGATAAAAGTGGTTATTTTTTTTTGTACAGTATTGCCATTTCTTGCTTTGAAATCATTCAGTTTCTTAATCAAAAACTCATAATTGCTTGACAAATTATGAACTAGATAATAAAACAAATTCTGGATTTGAGCTTCCAGATGCCCATAATCGGTGGAGACGTACGTTATTCAAAATTTGATGGCTGTAAATACAGTTTTATCACAATACGAGAAACATACATACATTTATGCAGATTCTTCATTATTTAATTTCTGTAAATATGAAACAGGGCTCTAAATATTTGGAGGCATAAATTTAAAAAGTGATTCGCCATTTATAGTGAACCAGTGCAAAATGCCAAAACGAAATTAATAGTCCTTCTAGCCAAATTGCCCCTTTGGACTAAAAATTCAGTAATTAAAATCTGATATTCTCTCATTTTTTTTTTAAATTTACGGAAATGTGTTAAATGGAACTCTGATATACACCCTAATTTCATCAACTGTGGCGATATGTCTTCTGCGCTGGTTTTTGGCGCGATTGCGTGTTGTATGGCAAACCTGTTGGCGTTGAAAAAATCTTTTGCTGGAGCTCTTTGGTTTGTGAAGATAGGGGGAAGAGATAAAATGGTGGAAGTTGTTGAATTGAAGTTCGGCAAAAGAAAATATCATTGTGGTCATCCTGTTGAGGGGCAATGGGTATTTGGAGGGTGTGGAAAGAGGGTCTGGGAGATTATTTTTAGTGGCTGTGCATGATAGAAGTAGGGATTTGTGATTTTATTTATTAGTGAACCATAGTATGAATTTTCTGGTTAGTGTGCCAGGCTGTCATATAAATACGATAGTGATTACGTGGCATGTTTTTTTAAGTTAAAACATATGTACATGGATTCTTGTCCAGTATTTTTGGTTAGAAACTTTATGTTTTTGCTATCTAAATTTTTTGTTTTCGTTTCGGATTTTTAGTTTAAATTGTATGTTCAAAATGTGGTTTTTGCATGTGCAAAAACCACGTTTTTGGAGACATATTAGGCTTAAAGTTCGAAATATAAACAAAAATTTAGATAGTGATATGGCAGCATGGAGTTTCTCCCCAAAAATGTTTGGCGAGAAATTTGGCGACTTGAGAGCGTATATTAAAGTAGTTCCAGGTAGTCTAATGTTTTAAAAGAGATTTGGATCTCTGAATACAAAAATAAAAACTTTTTAAAGAAGCAAAACTTTGCAACCACTCGGAGTGATATGCTGCAATAACACTTTTCCACATAGAAGTCTCTCTTTTGTGATGATTCGTTGGTAATCCAAAGCCCAGGCCATCATTTTCTTCACCTAAGTCTTTGCATGTCCAAATTTTGGGTTATAAAGAAGATGTAATTTGTTCGATGGACAAGTGTGGTTCAAAATCTTACCCCGTGATTCTCAACTTATTTTGTCCTAAGAACCTTAAAAATCCTACAGCAAAAAATATGGTACTCTTCTATTATGAGGACCAGATTCAGAAATGTATATATGTAAGTATGTGCTTGTCTGTGTATACACGCACATACATATGCACATATATACATGCATGCATGAGCACACATCCATACATACATTTCTGAATTCAATCCCAATAATAAAAGAGTACCGAAAATGTTAAGTACCAAAACTTAAGTATAATTTTTTTATATTCATAAACTGAAACTAAATACTTAAGCTAAATAAAAGGCTGGCCATTACATCACATCTAATAAATTAATTAAATTATTTAAAGCTAGATTTGATCATAGTATATTGTTCTTGATGTTAAATTTATAGAAAACATAAATTATTCTTTTTTTATGAAAGTACCTAAACATTTGATAGCTTCTAGAGACTGTTGGGCTATTTTTCAGAGTAGGATCTTGCTCTACATCTGGTAGGTTTTTTGGATCAACCATGACCTCTCCAGGATTTGGAACACAGGTCTTTCAATTGCTATCTGATTGTGCTACTCATTTATGCATGGCAGCATGCACACAGGATTCTGATAATTCTGTATATTTTTTCCTACTTAAAGGGTGACTGGAAAGAGGCAGAAGACCCTTCACTGACAAAAACTATGTCGTTACAAGTTGTTATACATCACACTTTTAGTTCAAACATCCCCATACAACAGCTGGTAGGTTTTTTTGGGCAAGGAACTAAAAGAATTAGCTGCAGCCTCACCAAGATTCGGACCTTGGATCTTGCAGTTAACAAACTGTATGTGCTACACCATCATGCACTAAAGAAATGCAATAATTCCATGCAAACTTATTTAAAAATAATTTTCCTTTCTTGAATCCTAGTTTCTGTTCAATATCTGCAGTTCTGTGTCACTTCTTTTAGTCTTCCCAGAGGAGTGTGTATGCATTTAAAATAAAGAAAATTCACTAAATTTATTTTTCAAATTAGTGTTTTATTCTTGACTCAGATGGGAAACTTACATTATTGTATCAGTAATGTTCATCATTTCTTCTTTCAGTTTCACTTTATTTAAGGTAATACCGGTCAACATTTATAAATGAGTAAGGGGAGGAAGCCAGACGGAATTGCTTGTGTCTAAAAAAAGTATTCTGTTGCATTATGTATTGTTTTCAAATTTATGCATCATAGGAACATACTTTCCTGAATATACAGCAGAAGAAATAAGAGTTATTTATTTATATTTAATTATATACAATTTTGGTAAAAATATATTTATGAGTGCTCCTTGGTGAAAATTTGTGATTTTTGGTGGTACATGGACACAGAGTTTGTGCAATTCTGTGACTTGTTATGCTGGCTTTCTTAAGTGGCACTTTTTGGTATAAAAATCTCTGCTATACAAAGCCAAAATAACAAGTCAAAGAACTGCACATACTCGGTATCCATGTGCTCATCAACCTATCTTCACTTAACCTTCCAGCAAGCGCGTATGCGCAAAATTTACGACAAATTCGATTTTCAATGCACGTTTTTCGCATATTGAAGCTGAGACGTTTGAAGGTCATTTCTATTCCTCCTTTTTAACCTTCCCCACATCATGGAATGTGCCAACAGGAAGTCATTTGACTTTTTTTTTTTTTAACTGGGCTTTTGTACTAAGTGGCAGCTTTTTCATAACAGTTATGACACACGCATGGTCATGTTTTAAAATTCAGAAAATATTTTTTTGACAAATATTTTGCATTTTTGTGTTATTAATTGCCGTGTATTATTTTAATTTGAATACATTTGGCTCTGTAAGTTTTATATCGGTTTTCGTGGCAAAAAAAATATGTGCAACCAGTTGATTTTGCTTGGATTCTTCAAGAATTATCTGATGAAGAAAAGGAAGACAAGGAAACCTTTCGATGGGAGAACAATAGCAATTTCCATTCCTTATTTTATTTTATTTCTATTTTTTAAAAATAAATAAAAACATTAAAGTTAGTTTAAAGTGCATTTTTTGTAATCAGTAAGAAATAAATTTCCTAGCAGAAGTAAGTAATGCTAAACTTACTTTTTTCCTACCAAGGTGTTTTCCTTTTTTATTGCCTATACTTGTCTTTGATGAATATTAAAATTAGCTTTGATTTTAAAATATAATTATTAAATAATAAATTTAAAATTTTCTTTAATGAAATACATCATTGCATTTCCATCTCACTAACATAAGAACTTCAAAATAATTTACTTATATTTGAATGTGATATCATTTGTATTTTGCAATAATAAGATTAATATTTTATTTCTTAACAAATTTATTATCAATATTCATTCATTTCTGTCATTTTTTGTGCCCCAAATGGTAAAATAATGAATGTTGTAAAAAATACGATGCGCGTATGCTCATGTAAAATTGCCATACACGAGTGCTGGAAGGTTAAAAAAAAATCAGAGAATTGTGCAAACTTGGCATTTTGTACTCTCTTGACTTTGTCCATGTACACATCGATCTATTTTCACTTAAAAAGTCAAAGGATCAGTCAGTTCTATACTAGACCCAAACAAAAAATGTATAATCTCAATAAACTACATTTTAAATCAAACAGTGAAATAACATGCATCCAAGCACTACACAAAGGAAATACTCACTTACCTTATTTGAAAATTTCCATGTTCTTCAGTTTGGCACACAGAATGTCTTAACAGCATCCAAAAACTTCCTAAAATTATCTGAACTAGAATCTGTATGCTGGCGTTGCCACATAAATTCACAAAAATAAGAGTAAAAAATATCTTCTGTAGTGCCAGACTATCAGTGACATTTCTTTCATGAACCTGTCTTGTGACAAACCCATTAAAGGCCATCTGAACGATCTTTACATTCAACCATACACATTTCCTTCATACAAACAGGACACTTATAATGGCTACTAAGTAAACCTTCATTTACACACCAGTCAGTTAATGCTTTTTTTTCCTTTCGTTCCAAATCGTACAGAAACTTCAAATTAATCTTACCACACTCATTCATTTTACCATGTAGACCACAAAATAAGTAATATACTTCCTGACCAACATCCAACACACAAGCAAGCTCTTACAAATCTTTTCTCATCAGTCTTCACCACATTCACACAACCAATTAGTCTTAATAGGGTTTCCATAACATTCAACTACTCAGGCTACCATAAATGAAACAACTTGGTGATAAATGAAACAACAACTTGGCCTGTAATCCAAGGGGCACCCTTAGATATAGGCTTATTAAAATTTTTAAAATTTTCATTAATTTACTTCAGGCTCCTCATTCAAAACAAACTTGTTCAACTAGATTTAAAATAGTGTAAATACAGGCTTTCGACTATTAGAAAATTTAACTGTGCCTATTGAACTTTCTTGAATTCTAACATTTAGCTCCTCCTGTCATTAATCATGAAGTTCGTCAAAATATTTAGATATTCAAAATAACCTGTTTACCCAAGCCATATTTAATGAAACAATAGAACTGTTTTAAATAGATAATTGTAAATATGTTGGAATTCCCTTAAATGCTGTATAAAAACTGGGCAATCTTCATCCAAATAGTGGAAAAGAATTATGACATAATAAACAAGAATATTCAGCCAAAAGTTTTTAATTTGGCATTCAGATGAAATGTAAACCTCTTACTTTGTTTGAAGCCAATTTCCTTGTTTAGGTAAAATCCAGGAGAATAATTGTAGTAATTGTTGAAGTTTGAAAAGATTTTGAAAACCTTATAAAGCATGCATGAAAATATTTAAAACATGATATAAACAAGCAGTACCATCACAACATTTTTTAGTGTATATTTTAACATTCAAATATAAAGCCTTACTTCTTGTGAATGAAAAGGAATAAATATTAGAATTAGCCCCTTCCCCTCAAAAATTGTGCAGATGCATTTTTCACCATTACATTAAAATTCAAAAATAATTAAAAATTTATTTTTGAATTATTAATTCGATAAATAATTAAATTATATTATTCTTGCTCCACCTTGAAGTTGAACTAATAGAGCCAGCGGGTCACTTTTGACTGGTGGGAATTAATAGATCTTAGTGCATAGGAGTGCATGCAAATTGTTTAATGCATGAATGTTAAAATTCATCTAAACATATATTCTGTACTTTTAGATGGCTACTGAACAGTCCACTGAAGAAGTCAAAAGATACAGATATCATGATATTCATAAGACATTTACTCCACGAAGCTACCAGGTCTGATGTTTCATTCTTTCTTAAATTTAATTTTGTAATGCTTGTTACATAAATTGTGTGATTTATTAAAGTGTTTACATATTAGACATCAACCTTGGAAGTTGACCTGCTACATTTTCTCTCTTTGTAAAATGGCTTTCATGAATTTTTATTATTTGGTTAGGCAGTTGTACTGCAAATTCTGTTTACAATGCAAGTAATTGTTCCAGCCTATTACTGTTTTTTGCCTATGTTCAGCTGATGGTATCATGTCCATTAATATACACTTTTTTATGCTAGGATATCATAACTTTGAAAATAATCCCTTGCTTTCTATTTTGCTGAAAGCAGTCCAAAATTTTAATAATTTTTTTTGAATTGCAAGGGAAAAAATACAGCAATAACATTTAATTTTTATTCTTGTTGAGTTTTTCATCACCAGCTTATAACTGCATGCGTTTAAACACATAATTGACTAAAATATATTATCTCTCTCTCTATATATATATATATGGGTACTTTGGTATTGTCCCAAGCAGCTTGATGATTTTTTACCGATAAGAAGGCAAAAGTTACTTATCATGTGTAAGTTGATGATTTTTCATGCCTTTTTTTAAGAAAGATTCCCAAACTATTTATATTGATCATATGATGATAAGCATTATTAACATGTGGAAAGAAAACGTACTTCAGGAGTTTAAAATACAAATTTGATATATTAAATAAGTTTTACATAATACATTAAAAAAATAAAACACATTCATCTTCAAAATCTTTCTGTATTTTTTTGCCTCATTCTTCTTCCATAGAACACAGTGATCTGTTTTTGTTAAAAAAAAAAAAAAAAAAAAAGTCATAGAATTGCTGTAACTCAGCCTCATGCAACATTCAGCAACAGTGGCTATCTAAGAAATGCATTTCCTTATTGTTCCCTGTAGAAAATTTTCAGCAAGTTCTGTATCCCTGCAAAAATTTTACTACAATTTTTCCGTTGCTGGCAAATTCCCCTAGCTTATATGTTAAAACTAAGTTTAAGGCAAACAAAATATGATGATTCATTTCCAAAAAACCATTTGAACTTGGAATACAGCGAAAAAGAATGCAGACAAAAATGGTGGCATTGCTTGATTGAAGGGCTGTAAGAGCATTATTGCTGGAAGAATGGTTAAATGCATGGTTCCCAGAGTTTGGCACATTCTGAAAATTTGGTGACTTCTAAGGTGGTTATGATAATACCAAAGTACCTGTATATGTGTGCAAGACAAAAACAAACAAACAAGTAAAAAAAAAAGACATAATAAAAACTTATTATCATTATTTATAATAGCCATTTAATTCTTTTTAATTTGAGTATTTCCTTTTTTTTTATTTGATTTAATAAAAGCGGTTCCTTTTTTCATCCTAAAAATAGTACCACTTTTATTAAATCACTAAATTGCTTCCTTTCAAAATTAATCTTTCTTGTGTGATTCTTTCATAATAGCAATGAGCAGATACTCGAATAATGCTTTAGCCAGTTATAATTTCATATTTGTAAATTGGCCAATAAGAAGCCAATAAGAAAAATGTAGAATTTTACTGAACTTTCATTTGTTAACTAAGCATTGCTTTCTCTGCTTCTGATTTATGCAAGCTTACTGCTTGTTTCTGCATTTGCTTTCTTCAAGTATTAAAATCATAAAAATTTGTAGTACTACTCGGTTTAGAGGGCTGTAAAAATCCCCAAACTATTGTTGATGGCAACTCTAATAATTGCGGCAAGAAAGGAAGTAAATAGTAAATAACTATCTAAGATTGATGTTTTGATTTAGATGAAAGGTTAATTTCATATAATACTTTTTTATTATTATAATTTATATGAAAAAGGCTAAATATGACTGAATGGAAGCATAAGAGTAAATAACTATTTCAGATCATTATTATAATTTATATAAAAATTGCTAAACATAACTGAATGGATGCCTGCATCGCTATTTCGCTATTGACTTATCGCTAAAACATAATTTTATCTCGTTGGTTGTTCAAACATAATTTTCTATAATGAATGATACCTTTTCTTTGAAAATATTCTCGGTAAAGTGCAGAATCGCTCACTTATTTGTTTTCCGCTTTTTACAAGGGTAAAGATAATTGAATTTTTGTCAATTTTCTTGTGAAAATAGGTCGATGTGTACATAGATAAAGTCAAGAATGTGCGCAGTGCCATTTTTGTGCAATTCTAGCTTTTTTTTTTAAAGTGAAAATAGGTCGATGTGCACATGTATACAGAGTATGTGCAATTCTTAAAAATGCGTCAAGCAATGGGTGATTCTGCGTTTTACCCAAAATTCTATTTTCGTCATGTTCAATTACCAAATTGTTAAATCCGTAGGATATAAAAAAGGATTAAAAAATTAAATTAATATGTCAATGGCGTTTTAAGAAATATAGGACTATATAAAAACTAACGCAATCTGAAATGTAATCGTACGCTAGATTTGGCGTTCTGTTAAATGGATGCGTTTGCTAGATTTGGCGCTTGTGCACATACATTTTTGCTGCAATTTTTTTTACGGCCCTCAATACCGAGTAGTACTGAATTTGTTTAAGAATGAGTGCACTTTATCTGTGTCTTCGTCTAAGATAAAAGCATTGTTTTGTTAAGAAATAAAAGAGTCTCAATGACTGCTTTTATGTTTACAAAAGAAGCACCAGCCTTAATGACTATTATTATCTTTATGTTTGAAAAAGAGAATAAATTTTTTCAAAGTGTTGTTAATAGTCTGTGTAATGATTCCTTAGATAACCTAAATATCAAAGCATTTGAGCAGTTTCCTTATTTCGAATGGATAGAACTTAAAAACTTCGCATGCACAGAAACTGAATCATCCATTGCAAAAACAAAAGGAAAGCTACTGTAGTAGACATTGATGGTAGTTTAATAAAGAAGCTAAGTTAACATTATTTAATAATGCACATCAAATCTTCAAAAATTGTCAAGTATTATTCGGAGATTCTGAAAATTACTTTGTTCTTCTTTGTCATTCCTTTTCATAATGTAACTGTAAAAAGAACATACTACAGAGGCTGTTCGCACATTTTTTAGACAATTTTGCTTTGCTATGGAAAAAAAAGAAAAATCGTCTGCTTGGAATTTTTTTTTTTAAATGCAACTATATTTTTTAAAGCATAAATTATTGTCTGCTTGCTCGACAGATTTGTTTTTATGCAAAATGTCACTTTTAAAGAAGCAGTAGATGGAAGACTATCTTCTTTCTGCAGAAAATTATTAGTATCTAGTTATTAAAAGACATTATAAAAGGCGTGGTTATAAAATATCTAAAGCTATGATAGTTGTCAAAAACAAAGGGAAAAAACATCAAAGTTTAGCGTCAAGTGGAAAAATTGCTTCAGATACGAATCCAAGGTAAAAACAGAATGTTTCGAATGTTTAATGTTAAAAGAAAAATCTGCCAATTCAAAGACAGTTGCAAAATCATTAAAATGCTCAGTGTCAGCAGTAAACAAAGTGGTTAATGCTGATATGAAACTTAAAAAGGCAAAAAAACATAATGTGCATCATCTTTCTCCAGGATATATCACCGAATGCAGAACCTGTTGCAGAATTCCCTATGAGAAACATTTATCTGGATAAAAATGGAAAAATGTTAGCACAATAGATGAATCTTGGATGTACTTAAATGTCTGCAATAAAAAGAGATCCATTTATTATCACCAAAGAGGATAAAAAAATCTAAAAGTTTTTCTAAGGGATTTATGATTGTTGCTGGTTTTTTATATAACAGCAAATTAAAAATAAAGAGAGTGAAGAAAAATGTTGTAATCAAAAACAGATTTTATACTCAGTTTTCAAATATGAAATACCTTCTCTTTTCACACAGTGTGATCAATCAGTAGAACTGCATCAAGACAAAGCAAGCAACGACATGTCAAAGTCTACTATTAATTTCCTGGGAAAAAATGAAACAAGAAAAGGTATCAACCCTTTAGTCATATCCTTACTAAATCTCCTGATCTATCACCTATTATTTTTGCACTTTTAAAGCGTGGGTTGTCCAAGCGTTGACCTACACCTCCTTGGATTTTGGAAAGCTGTTCAAGGGGAATGGTATAAAATATTTCTTTGTATACTACAAAAGGCTTAGAAAGATAGTAAAGAATAAGGGTTGTCAATTATAATATTTAAAACAAAAAATTTTATTTAAAATATTTCTGTAATTACAATGAAAATCATCTTAAAAATGTGTAAACAGCCTCTGTAATTAAAAGGTAGTGTTCTAAAAAGAGTAATTGCTTTTCTGTGAAAAGATCAGTGTATTGAGCAGATTAGTTAAAGATTAGTTATAGTAAGCTATAAATTTTTATCATTTCAGATGCTAAGTATTTTGTACATATTTATTGTGACACTGATGTTTTAAAGTATCTCAGATCAATACAAAAGTATTAATAGGCTGTTTAAATGAAGTCACGCTCTCTCAAAACATAAGTGATTAAATAGTGGAGTTCATTGATGCAGTTTTTATGTGCTTATGAAGCATAGACACATTATAATATTTTAGAAAATAGTTATCGAAATATGCAGCATCTTAAACAGATTTCATTTTAATTGTTTGAAACCAAATGGTTATCTTTCCCTGCATGAAATTTTTTTGTATTTTATTTAAGATTTGGAGAATCTAATTGGTATGTCCTTAATTTTATGTTTCAACACTATACTGATATTCTTATTTTAATGTTTCAAGATACGGTAATCCTAATTTTGTGTTATAAACAGTAATAAATTATTACTGCTGGAATTACCAAATTTTTAATGGGTAGTATGCAAAAGCAGTTAACAGATAGTTTTTTTTGTAATAGTGATGTTTTTATTTTTATTTATTTTTTCATTGCACAGGAGTGAAAAAGCAATCATTTATCATAATAACTGTATAAATGTGAAAGTGTGTTAGTTCATGATGTATAAATAATGGCATAAAAACAAGCATTTATTACTGAAATTTATAATTGTAGAAGTGTATAATTTCATATGAAGTTATCTCATAGGTAATGTCATATATTGAACTAGGTTTGAAAAAATAAGAGAAACTAAGGTACTAGTTTAATCAATTATATATTCCCCATCTGAATCAATAACACTCTTCTAATGCTATAATACATTTTCTTGCAGAAGTCAACTTATTTATTGGAGAAAAAGTCTTGAAGATCTATTTTAAGTGTATAAAAGAAAATTACATTCTTTTTATCAATGGAATTTTGCAAGCTTCAAATCATTAGTAAATGGATGCTTAAAAAAGGAGGATTTTTTTAAAGAGCAGTACAGTGCTAGAGTATAATAAAGCATAATGAAGAGCAGTGCGTGAGTTCCCCGATACTGTTTGATTAGCATCTTTAAGTTCATGTAGAACCTGCTTTCCAAACTTAGAATGCAATTTTTATTTGCTCAAAATGGTAATGGACTGTTAATAATTATGAATTAACATCTTCTGCCAACTTTTCAACATCTGCATATGGATATCTTTCAGTTGCAGCTTTCAAAACATTATTATCAAACAAGATAGGGTGCCTACAGTGGTTTAAGGTTGCATTATTGAAATTTACAGAATTTACACTTGTGAGTATTCAAAATGCCTTTAGCACACACTTCTTCGAGTTATTTTAACAGCATTTGTTGCACTAATTCCTTTGTATTTATAAAGCATGATGTGTCTGATGTATTTGTTTGTGACTACCATTTTCATGTTGCTATTAAAGCAACAAATTCATTCAAACATGCTCCCATAATTTATTTGAACGAAGCTGTCTTTGTTTAATAATATTTAAACACCAGGAAAATGTTTTTGTTTAAATGTGTTAGATTATGTTTTAACGTATCTTGTCAAAAAATAATGCTAGTTATAGGATGACCTGACATGTATAGATATAGTGATATTAATTTTGCAGGAAGTAATGCATGTCCTAAAAAGTAATGGCTGAAAGGGCAGACTGAAACTTTAAAATTTGAATTAAGTATAATAAATGAGTAAATAACGCTTGTGTACTGTATTTTTTGTTAATATTGGTAAGCAATAATGTGTGTAAGACACCCCACTATGAAACAAGTAAGTGTTTTATTCTAACTTTTTATTTTTGTTTTTGACATTTTTGTATAAATTGTGACTATGAAATAAACTGATATTGGGAAAATAACAAAACAATTTATAATTTACATATTTATGAATCTGTTATACTAATTAGCTAAGGATGGATACATTTTCCTTTCAGATTGAAATTTTGGAAGCTGCAAAAAAAGGGAATGTTATTGCTTGTATGGGTACTGGAACCGGGAAAACATTTATAGCAGTTTTGCTTATTCAAGAAAATGCTGATGAAGTTCGTCTGCCCTTTTCCAAAGGAGGGAAAAGAATATTTTTTCTAGTACCAACAGGTTGATTTTTCATGTATTATACTTTTCGGTACTTTTCCGTTTTGCCGCCGCAACCAATAAAGTCACCAGTAATGACACAACCGATGCCAACGAAACACAACGAAATATTCTCGCTGGTAACCTTTTACTTTAACTTTTACATTTTCAAAACAAGTCGCAGCCATTTCTTATCAGATTGATTGTTTCTTTGAATCCTGGCATTTATAGAATTACATAGAATTTTTACCAGATAGTTCAATTTTATGCCCTAATGTCTTTCACAGGTGGTAATTAAGTCAATTAGGATGCAATCACACCCCTCACCTGATGGGGAAAATATAGAAAAGGCAAAGTCAAAGGTTTAAATTCATCAATTCTAATGAGAATGCACTAGAGAAGTAAAGCACTGCGGTTTTAATATCTGAGTAAGCTATTCGTACGAATTGAAATAATGCTTGCATTTAAACCTTGTATTCCAAATTAAGATTTAACTTGAAATTAATGTAGATAATTACTGCAAGAATTAGATTTTTATAGCGTAATTTTCGTGAGATGAGATCACTCGGGGTGATGTGATACGAACTGGTGAATCAGGATGTTGTACGATGAAAGCATAGTGAATTCTTAAATTAATGTCTTTTAACAAATTTATTGTCTTTATTTATTGGCTTTTTTACAAAATTTTCAACAACATTAAAATGCTTATACCTTCAAAATAAAAATTTCTTGGAACTAACATTTGTCAATACTTTTTACGTGTATACTGTGTGTTTTTGCCAATAAAGTCTACTTGGCGAGATTTGCGCCGGCGAAACTGAAAAGTACCTACTTTTCTTATTAAAATGTTCTTTGTGTACATGCATGTGCATAGAGATTAATGCTAATATAATTACATATTTCTAAAATGGTATGAATTTAGAAATACTGGTAGATAAATTTAAAAAAAAAAAAAAAAAAAAAACTTTGTATTATATAAGATTATTATATTGAAAATTGTTTTTGAAGAACATTTTAGTTTATTATAAGTTTTTTTTTATCTTGTATACTAATCTTTGTGTTACACTTAGAGACCTGTTAGTAAATAGAAGATTATCAGCTTTGTTAGAAGTACACTCACACCTTTTTTTTTTTTTTTTTTTTTTTTTTTTGTGGATACGGACTGCACAAAATTGCACAAAAGTTCATGAGTAGCTGTAAAAAATAGTTTTTGCAACACAATTAAAAAGTAACTTTTTTATGTGGTGAATAGGGACTGTATAAAAAAGTCTCATGTAGAAAATAACTCAAAACCTTATGAAATAACTAGGAATAACTCTTTTAAATGAAATCAAGATGAGGCTTGGCAGCTACTTGGAATCTCGTCAAACCTTTTAGAATCTGATTTAGAAAATACACATGTAAACATTTTAAAATATTTTATTTGCATATGTACTTAACAAACTGTTAACAAACCACATATGTACTTAACAATATGTACTTATACAAAACTTTTTAAAATGTATAACCATTATCCTTCGTAGTTTGACAATACGCGAACTTTCTTGTGGTAAACTGGTTCAAAATCACTTTTGCACTTGAAGATGCTACCTCACACTCGTTTAGCGTTGACTTTTTTTCAGTTACCATGTAGTCAGTGATCAGTTTTTGTGATGACTGTTGTTTCACTAGATGCTTGTATATATCTATATATCTGGGTACCCAGATGTACAAGATTGTAGCTCTTTTTGGAATTTTGAAGTTCTTTCATAATTGGCCTCGATTGCAAGAAAATGACATTCTAATTTATGGAAAAGTTTAAGTCCTGCGTAGTTTTTATCTTCTGTCATATAATCATACAATTATGTTCCAATTTGATTGAAATTTTGATATACAGCACAAAGAAAATTGCGCAAAACAAACTTGTAGAAATAAAAAATTGCACGAAAAAAGACCACTCAAAAACAGGTTTGACTGTAGTTAATTTCATAATGTTGGACTAGAAAAAGCTATTTCGTGCATTTCAGAGAATAAACATGCAGATTCTCTTATTGTCAGGAATAAGAAAAGCGCATAATTTGCCTCTGAAGTAGCATTTTATATTAGCAGTTGAAATTTATTGTAAAATTTAAATATTAGATTGCTTATATATATATATATATAATCTTGGTATGGAGTTATTATACTCATTATTTACAATATATGCTATTTAATTACATCACATTAGTTAAAAATAATAATAACAATCATGAGATGATTTTTTGTACTATTCGAATTTGAGGGCCATAAAAAATCGCCAAACTATTGTTGATGCCAATGCTGCCAAGAATAGTTACGGCAACCCTAATAATTGTGGCAAGAAAGGAAGTATTATAGTAAATAACTATGTAAGATTGATGTTTTAATTTAGAAAGGTTAATTTCATATAATACTTTTTTATTATTATAATTTATATGAAAAAGGCTAGACTGAATGGAAGCATAAGAGTAAATAACTATTTCAGATCATTATTATAATTTATATAAAAATTGCTAAACATAACTGAATGGATGCTTGCATAGCTATTTTGCTACCGACTTATCGCTAAAGCATAATTTCATCTCGTTGGTTGTTCAAACGTAATTTTCTATAATGAATGATGCCTTTTCTTTGAAAATATTCTCGGTAAAGTGCAGAATTGCTGACTTATTTGTTTTCCCGCTTTTTACAAGGGTAAAGACAATAGAATTTTTGTCAATTTTTTTTTTACTTTTTAAGTGAAAATAGGTCGATGTGTACATAGATAAAGTTAAGGGTGTGTGCAGTGCCATTTTTGTGCAATTCTAGGACTTTTTTAAAGTAAAAATATATTGTGTGCACATGGATACCGAGTATGTGCAATTCTTAAAAACGCGTCAAGCAGTGGGTGATTCTGCACTTTACCCAAAATTCTATTGCCGACTTTTCATCATGGGCAATTCCAATTGTTAAATCCATAGGATTTTAAAATTAAACTAGTATTTCAATGGCGTCTTAAGAAATATAGAATTATATAAACTTACACAATCTGAAATCAGTGCGTACACTAGATTTGGTGCACTGTTTACATGGGCGCGTTTGCTAGATTTGGCGCTTTTACGGTCCTCAAAGCGGAATAGTACCGATTTTTTTTTTTTATGATAAAACATTGATACTTAAATATTAGTTGCTAGCAGGAATTTCATCTTGTGATAACTTGGCAATGAATGACTATTTACTTACTCCAACCATGCCTTCAGTCTTTACTTAATGTTTCTAGCCACATGCTTTGCTATTGCTTGTAATGTTAGCTTCAATATAATCTGTGCTTTGATATGTTTTGAAATTATTATATTTTTGGTACTTCTTTGTTATAGTGGCCTCCAATCGTATTTGGTGATTTTAGATTTGTGCCAAGATCTCAGCTATAATTTTTCCAAGCTCCTGAAGCACAAATATAAAAATAAACAACACTATATATAATAACAACAATAATACTCGAATATCATTTTCTAAGAATATTTTTTTGAATCCTTATCGTTATCTTTACAGTATTTTATCCTATGTAATTGTTCCAGTCAACTGCAGCACTTGCACACATATGTTAAGTTGTTTGGTATATAATTTCATAGATATGAAATCATCTGGCCAAGAATGTAATAGCAGTGACAAACATATGTACATCTAATAGCAGTGACAAACAATATTCTGGAACCGCTGAATCAATTTCCAACATGGAAGCTCTTCTTCATTTTGTAATTTTTAAAATTGCACCTCTAAATGGTTTTGTCGTTACATAAAGTTTCATGTTGTGGTCACTTTTGCATACTCGTTTGTGAGGTAAAAGTCCTCTTTCTTGAAAAAATTATATGACATCCACCTCATTTCTTGGTAAATTAAAGATTATTAATGTCATATTCTCTCTCACACACACACAAAACCACAAAACCCTACAATGAATATATTTTGAAATAAACATTCCGAATTTCAAACCCTCATAAAATGAATAATATAAGAACATACAGTGAGAGCAAAAATGCAACACTGTGCTAATATACGATTATGTCGTGAGATATAAGAACACATAACTGGTGCTAATGTATGATCACTTGGTGATGTATAAGAACACACAAACAGATTTTGGCGAGATATCTCGGTTGATTGGTGATTCAATCTCAGGGGCTGCTGTAACAAAGAAGTACTTTTTTTAATGGGTTATTGGAACTTACCAATTAATGAAGCAGAAGTTATTCACTTTTTTCGGAACAACTGACTAATCAAAATGTTCTAATTCTTTTACTATGAAGTTATGCTGTATAAAATTACACATCATCTATGGAAATATGTTCGGGAAATAGAATATTGAAGCTATTTTTCAAATTTAGTTATGTGCAGTCCAACAAAAATAATGAAATAAATTATCTAGGCCATCACAAATATTAGTTTAGTGTGAATTAAAGCATCCAGTGCTCAGTTTGCTGCCAGAATCATCACAGTACTTGAAGTTTTTGGTAGTGGGATATATTCTTATATAATTATTCTGATGACTATCAGCTATTTTTGTATTGCTATTAAATCATTAATCCTTATAAATGTATGAGCATCAATACATTATTGCTAGCAGTTTTGCCATGTATCCCAGCTTGCTTATAAGTTGTGAACACACATTCAAGGCAGCTTTCATATTTTTTAACAATTTCAAAATTGTATCTTTGGAAAATTTTCTCTTTGGTTTAATTCCAAAGGATTTGAGCAAGGGAAACAAAAAGAAATCAGAAGTGGTTATATCTAGACTATAGGAAGGTTGGGAAATTATTGCCAGAATTTGTTTCGTCGCAAAATGTCTAGCTAGTAGTGATGCATGGGTTAATGCATTGATGTGCTGAAAATCTCAGTGTTGGTGATTTCTGAGCAGATGTATGCTGTTCTCTTCTTGAACGTTTTAAAGTATTTCCATGTAAACTGCAGTGTTGCTGTTTGTTTAAGGAATATGAATTCTTTACGAACAGAACCTTTAGAGTGAAAAACGAGAATAAATATTGATTTCATCTTTGAATCTTCTATGGTTTACAAGACTCAATGCTGTGCCACTTAAAGGTCTGTCTTTTCATTTCTGTACTATAACTCAAGGACTTAAATTTCATCATTGATTATCATTTTTTGGAAAAATAAAAGAAGCAGTTCACTCCTCACATAATTGAAAATCTAATGAAAAATAGACACATTTTTTTTCCTGTTCAACTAATTTGGGACATAACTGTAGTTCTTTCATGATGATTTTATGTGCAGTGGTTTGCAGTGGATTTTGGAAATGCAACTTCCTCTGGTATGAATCAAAGGCTTAGACATTGGTCAGAATACTAAACTGTTTTCAGCTTGTCCACATTCTTTGAAGTGTGAGATATAAACAAGTATTCTGTGCATTATTAATCCTTGTCTTTCTGCTCTGAACATTTTGTTCCACTGGAACACTTACATTTCAATAATTTTTCAGTAAAGCATAATTCTTTTGGATTTCCTGTATCGTAAGTATGTGATTGTTATGCAACACTCAAACAGGACTCTATTTCACAAGTGATCCACACTCAATAAGAGTTCAGAGCCAGCTGATGAGAAATCGACTGCTTACCTAATATTTCAGATCAAATGTCACACCCAGATACTCTGCCTTCTGGCCCTTCTGATTGGCCTATGAAAATCAATTTTGTTGCTTCATTGCTAAACTTTATAAATCAAGAAACTTTATAGGAGCTAAAAGGTCATGAGAATTTGTTTGTTTAGTCTCTTGCCAAAAAAATCTATTTTTGTAAGTACATGATATGTATTAAGTCATCTAATTCATTATGACTGAAGACTGTATCGTAGAAGCTGCAAAATTATTTGGTCAGAGATTAGTCTGAAATTGAGCAGCTTTAGTAACAATCACATTGAAAATTGCTAGATTTTTTTTTTGTATTGATCATTAAATTATGACTTTTGTAATTTCAAATAGAGACATTACTGGATAAGTTATTATTACATGCGTATTAATCTGAGTATGTTATCTCTCGCATATTTAATTGCTCAAATATATAGAACTGTTTAGATTGAAACTTAGTAAAAATTTATAAAGATTATTATCTTAATATGAATCACTCTGTCTGCATCCCTTTAAAAATGGCATAACTTATGTAATTTTATGCTCTTGATTTCCAAGTTAAAAAATTAATAAAAGAAGGGGTATGCATGTATAACTATTATGTCTATAAAGAATGTTAAAAAAGTAGCAGCAGATTTTATTTTCTTAAATTTAGAATTTCTTATATTTATTTATAAAAATCGTAGCTTTTGGCACTTGAGCTAGTAGCCATCTTTTTTCCCAGTACTTTTGGTATTGAGTGCAGAGCAGGTGTTTTAATGTTCTTTGTCCATAGATTATCCAGAGTTGCAAAGAGAAAACATTGTAGAATTTCTGAGTAAAGAGATAAAGCAGATAAGTATTGAGAAATCAAGAGGTAAAGATAAGCATTGAGGCACTCGTGTGCAGTTAAAAGAAAAAATGGTGCCATTGCTGAAGTCCAAGGAGAATCAAAGATATTGTATCTCATGTCCTGGAGATATTGCCAAGTCTTTCCATGAGCTTTTATGCACAAATTTGAATCACAAATCTTGCTAAATTCCATATTTATCAATCTTCTTAAATTTAGTTGTATATTTTCAGTTAAACAGTTTCTTAAAATATAAGGTGCTGAATTAGCTAAAAGCAGAAAATTCGTACCTTTATGTACAAAATATATCCAGTAAAAACTTTCACTAAAAAGAAAAAGGGCAGTTAACACATTTAAAGATACTTGTTAGACCAAAATGAAACTTTTAATTACTGAAATGCACTCCTTTTGTTTTCTAGTTGCTACTTAAATTTTATCTCAGAAGTTTTGAATGTAAAGTAGTAATAAACATGGAAAAATTACAGAAGTATTAGACAGTTAGCGAAGGTAGTAAATTTCTTTCTCAAATATCTGTGTGGGTTTTGCTTATAAAAAATATGGAACCTTCTTTAGAGTATTTTTCTAACTGAAATTTCTGAGAACATTTGAAAAGAGTTAGATTTTATTTTTACAGAATCTTGCTACAGTGTTGACATAGTTTACATAAAATATTTTGTATTATAACTGAAGTACATGTGTAGGTCAATATTTAGAGAAATAAAAACTATAGCATACTTTTGTGAACATGTATGTATCATAATGCTGAAACTGTCGTAATGGGTGTTTAAAAATAAAACAAAACTTCTAAACTTTAATTATAATATGTTCCTGTAAAATGTTTAATTTTACTTACTCAAAGCATAGAAAAGTTAATAAGGTCCTGCTAGAGGATATTGCAGTATTGGAAAAAAATAAGAAATCAGTGGAAACTGAGTTATATTAGTTTCATATTTTTATTATATTTCCTGATAAATGATTACATACTCAATCCTAATAAAAAAAAAAAAAAAAAAAAAAAACCTTAAAATACAAAATAAATGTTGATGGAATTTAGCTGGTTCACACACATTTGAAAAATCCACTTTCTAAAAATTATTTAGATTGAGAAACTGGTTATTAAAATTGAATGTGTATATGCGACAATAATATTACAGTATGTGTATATATGTTTGCTATCATAATGTATTTATAAAATTTAGGCATGTATCTTAATGTTATACTTTATCAATGTTCTTTCGTAAAAACATATGCACTTACATTGTGAATACAAGTATGTGAGTGTATGCATATATATTTCAGTTAAATCGATTTTACTTCTCAAGAGGCTATACCAAAGCAATATTTAATCTAAATGTAGGGTTTTTATGAGAAACATTATTTTTAGTCGTATTTTAGCATGAACTTACTGAAAGGTTTTCTACTTGACATAAATTAATTTATACTTTTTCTCTTTTCTGAGTTCCCTTGGTGCTGCAACAAAAGAAGGCCATACAGAATCATACAGACCTGAAAGTTAAAGGCTACCACAGTGAAGTACGTGTAAATTCATGGGAGAAAGAATTAAAAAGTACTGAAGTACTAGTAATGACTGCAGAGATATTTCGGATGATAATTGATCATGCTTTTATTCCATTAAATAAAATTAAATTACTAATTATTGATGAATGTCACCTGGCACAAAAGGAACATCCATATAAGCAAATAATGGAACGCTTTATGAATATAAAGTCTTCTGAAATGCCAAAAATTTTTGGTTTAAGTGCATCACTGTTGAAAGGAAAAGTTAAACCTGTGCAGTTAGAGACAAGTATGCAGGAATTGGAAAAAGTTCTTAGAAGTATTATTATTACTGCTAGAGATATAAACGACTTTAAGGTGTATGGAACAGATCCAAAAGAAATATCTGTGTATTATCAGGTGTTAGAATTTACAAGTTCAGATCTCAGAACTGAAATTCTGAATTTTTCAAGCCAGCTTAAACTTGAAAAATCAGAATTTGATAGAAATGATGAATTTTTTTCAAAAAATGAGATATTTTTTGATAAACCGTTACGTTGTTTGAAGTCTTTACTTGCCATATTAGAAAATTTAGGTCTTTGGGGTGCACATACTGCAGCCAAGATTTACTTGAAAGATGTTATCTTTATGCGTGATCATCCATTTTCAGATAAGTGTCAGAATATTCTTAAAAAGGTGCAGAAATTTCTTATAAAATTGATTAAAAAATGCCAAATTTTATTACGGGAAAATGGAAGTCATGTAACACATAAACTAAAAACATTACAGGCAATATTTTTGTCCATAAAACAAAGAAATCTTAACGAGACATCTTCTATTTCTGATACTACATTTGAATGTGATATTGAAAAATATTTCCCCAATATCGAACAACTACGTGAATATTTAAGCGTTTCAGACATAAATATGTGTTCTATTGTTTTTGTAGAACAAAAAATAACTGCTTATGTTTTATATAAATGGTTGATTGATATGAAGAAAAAAATTCCTTCTCTTGCATTTTTAAAGCCTGAATTCATTGTTGGTCATGGTAGGACTGATTTAAGTGAAACCACAATGTCACTGAGGAAGCAGAAAAAAATTCTCTCTCGGTTTCGCCAAAAGAAATGCAATTTACTGATTGCAACTAGCATTTTGGAAGAAGGAGTGGACATTCAGCAGTGCAATTTAGTAATTCGTTTTGATTTGCCTTTAGATTTTCGTTCATATATTCAGTCAAAAGGAAGAGCCAGAGCTAAAAATTCCATGTATATTTTGATGGTACCTAAACATCCTGCTACTGTTTCAGAATTTTTACAGAATATGTCTGATTTTAAAACTATAGAAAAGGTGAGATTTCTTTCTTGTTTATACAGTCAAAAGTCGTCAATCTGGACTCTTCGGGACATCGGCGATTCTGGATTATCGATTTTTCCGGATTATAGATCATCAGTTTAAATCTGGTAAGATGGCATGCTGAAATTATAAAATTAAAAATATGAAACCGTAATTTATGAAATAAAGAACAATTATGATCTAAAGGGTATAAAAATTTACAAAAAAAAAAAAAAAAAGCTTAATATTTATTTGTTTACTTTAGTAAACATTTATAACATTTTTTTCAATGTAAGATGTTTAAGTTGCTTCGTTTTTTATGTGATAATACATTCTCTTTAATTCTATAAACAGACATAATTTCTTGTTCAGTTACAAAGTTCCGCTGTTCAAGTCCTATAATTGCTGTGTCAAGAATACCGACTAATTTGTCAATCGAAATTTTTTCATTTTCAATAGCCTCTGTGTCACTTTCTTCACTATCGGAAGCGAATTATAATGACGAGGAATTTGATTTAAATCATGTCAAAGATGGAGTACATTGAGATGAAATACTACATTTAGTAAGAAATTGTAAGCCAAATAAATAAAAACATCTTCCCTGAAGATAAGGATAGTGCTGACAGATCAACTTCCAAATCATTGCGCGCTGCGGCATGAAATTGATAAACAGATTTTGGAATGGTTATAGAAAGGAAGGGTATGCCTTTATCCATTTTTTGCAGCAATTCCACTTTTTGTTTAATGGACTTCGAAACATACTTTCGCTTTGTAGATCCTTTACATATTAGTAAATATATATCAGAAATTCTATGTGACATAATCAAAAGTTCAAGCTTACTTTTATAAAATTGCTCTAAGAGTCTGCAAAAAATAATAAGCCGGATCCAATTCGAAGATTAAGGAAAAACGCAATCTGCAACATTAACTGAATTAGATAATTTTAGCTTAGCTTATATCATCCATTATACATTAAACGCGCATGCATAAATGCATTATGTGCATGCGCACACGCATATTCGCAGCCGTAAATGTCTTACGCACATGCGTCAACACGACGCATGCGCAGAAAATTTGTAGCTTTGAGGTCCGGATTATAGATCAGTCCGGATTATGGGTGTCCAAATTAACGACTTTTGTCTGTATTGATTTAAAAATTGCTTTTAAATCTGTCTTCAGTTTCAGGATAATGTATCTCTTAATGTTTTGTAAATATGTAATTAAAAAATTTTTATTATATAATAACATTTCTTCTTAGACTTTTTATATTGTAACAACAGCGAGTGTTTGTTATATAATACTTTTGATTTAGTAAATGAATCAAAAGTATTAAGCAAATCAAATAACTGTTAACACTGCATTTTATTAAAGCTGAAAGCTGAAATTAAAATTTATCAGGATTACAACAAATTTTCTCCTTTTTTAAATTTGTTTATTCACAATTATAAAATCGGTTATTGCATGAAATAGCAAAAAGTGTTATTCAGTTTTATAATTTTCTTTAAAAATTTTTTTAGTTTGGGATGTATTTAATTAAGATTAAAAATTTAAAGGGCTATTGCCAATTTAGTTAGAAAATTTGTTCCAATTAAATTTGATTTGCTAATAATTTTTTTTTTGTGTTTTATATCTTACATATTTATACACGTACATACATGTACATTGCGTGGGGGGGAGAGAAACAGTTCTATATCTTTCGTTCTACTGGACCGATTCACGAAATTCGTATTGCGTTTTTTCATGTCTCCAAAGTGCGACTTAGTATATACATTAGATATGTAGAGAGAGAGCATTGTTCTAATACAGGTATTTTGACACAAAATCAGTTTTTCTAAAATGACATACCAATTTTTTTCCATATTTCAATTTTACGGTTCAAATTATGCCTAAATATTAAATTTTGAAAAATTTGATGCGAAATTTACAGAAAAGTTCAAAAATTTATCTTGAGGTATTTTTTTCAATTTGTGCCAAGAATCATATGTTTATATATTACAATATATTGGCATTGGTATGTAAGGAAATTCACTTGACGAACCTTTTAATTTACAGCAACCTATTTTCCTTTCCATTTTTTTCATTGCAGACAAGCAGAAAAAAGTCATCATTCATACTTTCAAATAATTTTAACAAAGTGCAAAAATCACATTTGGTGTTGTTATTGCTTATAACAAATATGCCAAATTTCGAACCGCACCAATATATAAATTCATGTATATCTTGAATATATTATATATAGTATATTTTGAATAAAAATCTTGTAATTTTTTGCAGGTGTACCTAGAAATATATCTACTTTAAGATGATGTAAAAACCTGTATAGGTTATAAATTCAAAATTTTTTCGAAAAATTTATAAAAATTATTTATAAATAAAAATTAAAAAAAAAAATAAATCATAAAAATGGTCAAATTTTATTTGGAATGAACCTAAATTTTGAAATATGAAAAGAAGAATCAAATAAGTTTAATAAAAAAAGAGTGATTAATAAATACATACCAAATTCAATTAACATTGGGGAGCTAAAGTTTTGAAAGTTAATTTTTTAAAAACTTCTCATGTGATTTTTACAAAACTTGGCAGTTTGGCATAATTTGAGATGTAAAATGGAAAACAATTGGCATTTCATTTCAGAAAAAGTCGGATTTATTTAAAGCATTGTTCTAATATAGGTTAAAATACCTATATTAGAACAATTCTATATATAAATCTAATACATATCCTAAGTCGTGCTTTCGAGACATGGAAAATGCAATTTGAATTTCGTCAGTTGGACCAGTAGAACAGGAGATGTAGAACTGTCACCCCCTTTTTTTTGCGCAGTGTACATACATGGTGTGTATGTATTTTTTGTTAAAAAAAGATATTATTATAGGTTTACAAATGAGACTATTTAAATTGCATAGAAAAATAAGATATTTAAATTGTAATATAATAGTACTACATATGAATTAAATATAAATATTGTTGTTGCGATGCATGCGTTTGCTACCTTTACAAGTAACTCAGAATTAATGAAAATTAGACTGTAATATTACTATTTTATTTTTCACTTCTTATCATATGCGAGCCATCTTTCCAAGCAATGACTTACTCAATCAACACCCACCCCCCAAAAAAGAACCCACTAAATGAGCATTACAAGGTTGCTGCAAAGATAATGCGTGGCATGCAAGGTGCCGAACTAATTTTAGAGCTAAACTGTCCTAAAGACACGACATAGCCCCTGGCATTGAAGGGTTACTTCAATAATTTTGTGCAATAATGTTCATAGTAACAAAAATTTTACTATTATGATGTTATACAATGTAACAATACAATAATCAATTTTCAATACAGAATTTTACACTCAATACGGCAAGTTTTATAATCATGAGCTAACATAATTAACTAAGTGAGGAAGCTTCTGCCTGGGGTAATATTGCAATTTTTGTAATTGTGCGCTTAATGATGCCTCTTGCTGTTTGAATTTCTGTTGCTCTAATCTTCTTCAACTCCAGGAAAGTCTTGTAATGCGCCCTAACACCCATCTATTTACAGAAAACTCATCTTCCTTAACTAGTACTAGCATCTCAATTTTAGTAGTCATTCATTCTGCTTTCCGTTTTGAATGCTGTTGTAATGTCATTAATTAGTCCCTATGTCAATGGTTCCATATCATTTGGACTAATCTGGTAGTTGGTTTCCATCTTGAGAGTCTGCTTTAATGTATATGAATTAATTCTGGTTCTACAGTAGCATTCAAGAGTCTTCCAATGAGAAAATGTCCTGGTGTTAAGGCTTCTAGATCATCTACATCGGCAGATAATGGAGTAATCAGATGAGAGTTTAAAAGTGACTCTATTTGAGTCACTACAGTCAATAATTTCTCGAAAGTTAGCCTTACATTACCTACAGTTTGGTTTAAGTGATATTTCACTGATTCAATTCTGGATTCACATAGCCCACCAAAATTAGGGCCTGGGGGGGGAGGAAATAAATTCCCAAATAATTTCTCCTTCAGCTGAATAATCTGCTAATTTTTCATCAGAAAATCTAATTAAATTGTTAAATATTTGCAATTCGGCATTTGCCCTGAACAGCACTATCTGAGGAAATGACTGAGCATTTTCTGCATTGAGCAATAAATCTTAAGGTGGTAATAAAGGCATCCATGGTAAGGCTAGTTTGAGATGCACTGCCTTTGTTATAAAGCAAATAAAAAGTGCTAAATATACCTTATGGAAAGGTTCTTTCCTCGATTCCTTGTACCTAAAAAAAATGGGTCGCAAAAATCGGTGCTTATGTGGTTAAAAGGTGCATTGGGATTTGCATACTCTATGGGTAATGAACCCATTATTTGTTTGATAGTGACAATTTTTACTACAAGTTATATATTCATGAGTAATTTTTTAAGTTAAATTCCTGCATTGTAATGGCCAACATTTCCACCTCATAAAACACAATAATGCTTGCGAACCCACGTGTAAATATTTCTAATGATAATGTTCGCTGATCACTTTAGACATTGAGCAGGCAGAATTAATGTTTTTACAAAAATTTTAGAATGGCCCCTTAAAAAAAGGAGGCAAAGAAAGCAAATGGCTTTTATTGTTAACCCATTAGCCGCTGGTGTTGCGTTGACACAACGGTCAAAATAAATGCGTATATAAATATAACTACGTAAGATATTTTATACCAGCAGATGATTTTGTGTAGGGAATATTATGAAGATTATTTCTGTAAAAAATATTTGCCTTCAACAATCATTTTGTTTATAATAATTAATCTCGTACTTTAAGCAAAATTTTCGACCGGAAAAAATTTTCATTTTTTTGCTGAAAATATTTAACGAAAGAATCGCCATCTTTATGAGTGATCTATTTCTAGTCAAGGTTACCATTTATCAGAATATTACATCAGTCAGATGTTTATATTTGTGATGGGAAGGAAAAGAAAACAGGTGTTGCGCTGATGCAACGTCAGCAGGAAACGGGTAGTCAATCTCCTTTTTCACTCACTCCTTTCGATGTTCT